AATGGTTCAAAGGAACCAATTATAGGAAAACAAGAAGAAGGATGCAAAGGCTCTTCATTTGATTCAACAAGCAACGGATATCAATTTTCTAAGAATTATCAATGCTACAAAGTCAAATGAGTATTGTGGTACTTCAAAGTATAAGATGAGTATCATGGTACTACCAAGGTAAGAGTCGTGAAACTACAATCTTTGAGAAGAAATTTTGAGAATATTAGAATGAAAAAAAAAAGAATCCTTAAATAATTTATGCAATAGAATTATGGAGATTGTAAATCAAAGGAAAACTTGAGGAGACTAAATTTTGGACTCAAGAATTGTTGAAAAAATTTTGATTGGTTTGCCGAAAAAATATGATTCTATTGTTTCCGTCATTGAAAAAACTAAATATATTTCTTCTTTGTGTGTTCAAGATTTATTGAGTTATATTAAAGCATTTGAGTAAAGGTTGAGTGGGCACGCCGAAAAATCTAATGATAGTACTTTTCAATCCAAGCTTAATGTTGACTCTAAAAGTCATGAATCGTCGAATTCCAATCAATCTAAAGATGAATTTTTTAGAGGAGGAAGATTTGGAAGAGGAAGGGGACAAGAAAGAAATTCAAGAGGAAGGGGACAAGGAAGAAGGTCAAATGAAGAATCCACTCAACAAAAATGTGAAATTTACAAAAGATCAAATCATGTTGATAAAGATTATTGGTTTCGTGGAAAGTTTCAATGTTTTAATTGCAAAAAGTTTGATCATTTGTAATAAGTTTGGTCATTTGCAAAAAGTTTGCTGGTTCAAGAATAATCAACAAGCTAATTTTTTTGAAATGCAAGAAAGTAGTGGAAACATGTTTAACACTTGCCAAGCAACGTCCGAGTAAAGGAACGATGTGTGGTATTTTGATAGTAGTTGTAGTAACCACATGACCGATAATGATAATATTTTTATGAACATGAACGTCACTTCTAATTCTCAAGTAAGAATGTGAAATAGTGTTATGGTTCAAGCAAAAGGAAAGGGAACCATTGTCAATGAAATAAAGAAAGGAACAAGATACATCAAAGATATCTTGTTGGCTATAATTTCAGCCTTTTTATATTTGTGATAGAGAAAACAAAAACAATGTAACTTAGTCTTTAGGAATAACTTTCCATAAATGTATTCCATAATTTCAACATACATATATGTTGTAAGATATATCTTGACCACTTATTTTTCTAGAATATTAACCACATAACAAGTATCAAGACTCAACCATTTATATTCCCAAGTCAACTAAATATACTTAACAACTAAGTATTATCTAATATGCTATTTTTAAAACGCCACTTCTAATTCTCAAGTATGGATGAAAAATGGTGTCATGGTTCAAGCAAAAGGCAAGAGAACATTGCTCTTGAAACAAAGACAGGAACAAGATATATCCAAGATGTCTTGTTAATACCAAACTTAAAACAAAATTTATTGAGTGTTGGTCAACTTATAGAGCATGGGTACTTCATGGTGTTTGAGGACAACTCTTGTATGATTTATGATTGTATAGAGAAAAAATAATTTATAGCGAAAATTGAGATGGAGAAAAACATAAATTTTCCTCTCAATTTTTTGTATTCAAACAATATTTCTTTAAAGATGAAAGTTGTTGATGAATCTTGACTTTAGCATAGAAGATTTGAGCACTTGAACTTTCAAAACTTGAAGATCCTATAACAAAAGAATATGGTTTATAGATTGTCATCTATACAAGAAGTTAAAAAAGTTTGTGAAAGATATGTACTTGGAAAGTATCATCAACATCCTTTTCTAAAAGAAAAAGTTTTGAAAAATCAAATCAGCGTTAGAGTTTTTTCACACCGATGTATAAGGACCATTAAGAACACTTTCTTATAGAGGTAACAAATACTTCATAATCTTTGTTGATGATTTTTCAAGAATGACTTGAGTTTATTTTATGAGACAAAAATTCAAAGTTTTTCAAATATTCAAAAAATTTTAAAAGTTTGTTGAAAGGTAAAGTGGATATTACATTAAGTTGTTAAGAAGTAATAGAGGTGTTGAGTACAACTCTAATGAATTTAATAAGTTTTGTGAAGACATTGGTATGGAAAGACAATTGACGGTTGGATATACTCCAGAACAAAATGGAGTGATCGAAAAAAAGAATATAACCATTGTTGAGATGACGAAATCGATGGTTTATGAGAAGGGTTTACTTAAATCATTTTGGATCGAAGCGGTTATAAAAGGCACGGGTTTACTTGTTGGAAATCTATCAAACTCCGATTGAAGCATGGTGTGGAAGGAAGTCGTCGATGAACTACTTAAAAGTTTTTGACTGCATTTGATAAAAATAGTGAAAAATATATTTTTGTGGGTTATAATTTTAAATCAAAGGATTATAAACTCTTTAGTTTGAAGAGAAACAAAGTGATTATTTGCAGAAATGTTCCATTTAATGATAAAGACTATTGGAATTGGAAAGAAAAAAATGTTCAAAATCAAGTTGTTGTAGCAAATTAAGATTATGGAAGCTTTGATAATGGAAATAAAAATGAAGATGTTGAAGTTCAACTACAAATGTCTCCAATACCAAACTCTCTTCATCTCCTTTTACTTCCACAAGTTCAAGCACTTGATCTCCAAGTTCAACTCCAAGGAAAATGAGAAATCTTAATGATGTGTATGCTAAATGCAATTTTTTTGTGATTGAACCAGATGTTTTAAAGAAGCAATCAAAGAAGATGCTTGGAAGAAAGCAATGGAAGATGAAATTTATATGATTGAAAAAAATAACACCTGGAAGTTGGTGGAAAAACCAATGAATAAAGAGGTCATTGGGGTGAAGTGGATTTACAAAACAAAGCTTAATTCGGATAGTTCAATTTAGAAAAATAAAGCAAGGCTTGTAGCAAAAGGGTATTCACAACAACCCGGTGTCGATTACCAAGAGACTTTTGCTCCAGTTGTTTGACTTGATACAATAAGGCTTCTTATTGCTCTTATTTATTTATAAATGAGCTGATTTCTTCATTAATTAGATGTAAAATTAGCATTCTTGAATGGTGTGTTGAAAGAAGAAGTTTATGTAAACCAATCTCAAGGCTTTGCAATTAATGGTGAAGAATGAAAAATATACAAGTTAAAAAAGACTTTATATGGGCTAAAATAAGCACCTTGAACGTGGTATAGTGAGATTAATTCCTACTTTAATGCAAAGGGATTTCAAAGAAATAAAAGTGAGCCAATCTTATACATCAAAGCGCAAGATAATATCGGTATTTTCATTGTATCACTTTATGTTCATGACTTGATTTTTATTGGGAATGATCAAAAAATGATTGAAGATTTTAAAAGTGAGATGATGAAAAGATATGAAATGAGTAATTTGGGATTTCTACATTAATTTTTGGGTATTGAAATTCGTCAACAAAAAGATGGAGTCTTTATTTGCGAAAGGAAGTATGCCAAAACTCTCATTGAAAAATTTAGAATAAGAAATTGCAAATCGATGGCTACACCTTTGGTTGTGAATGAAAAGTTGTTAAAAGATGATGGAATTAAAGAAATTGAAGCATCTTTTTATAAAAGCTTGATTTGAAGTCTTTTGTACTTGATAGTTATAAGGTCGGACATCATGTATGCTACAAGTTTATTATCTTGGTTCATGCACAAACCAAGCCAAATTTATTTTGGGGCAGCGAAGAAAGTGTTGAGATATATTCAAGAAACACTTGATTTTGGGATTATGTTTGGAAGAAAAGTTGATGTCAAGTTATTTGGATTTTGTGATAGTGATTGGGTTGGAAACATTGACGATATAAGGAGCACTACGAGCTATACGTTCTCACTTGGTTCCGAGGTAATTTCATGGGTGTCAACGAAGCAACAAAGTGTGACCCAATCATCAACTAAAGCTGAATATATTTTAGCATCATTGGCTACTTCTCAAGCAATTTGGTTAAGAAGAATTATGAAAGATATTGGTGAAAAATAAGGTGAAACAACTCTAATTATATGCAATAATAAATCAGCTATCGTCGTGACAAATAATCCCGTCTATCATAGTTGAACTAAGCACATTACAATCAAACATCACTTTATTTGAGAAGGCGTGGAAGATGAAGAGATTCAATTCAAATATTGTAAGACCAAAGATCAAGTGACAGACATTTTTAGCAAAACACTTCCTAAAGATAAGTTCGAGTTTTTAAAAGACATGTTAGGAATACAACAACAAAGCATTAAGGGGGAGTGTTAAAAATAACACATTAGATAATATTTAGTTGTTAAGTGTATCTAGTTTGACTTGAGAATACAAGCAGTTGAGTCTTGGGTTTTGTTATGTGGTTAATGTTCTAGAAAAATGAGTCAAGATGTATCTTACAACCTATATGTATGTTGAAAATATGGAATATATGTATGAAAAATTATTCCTAAAGACTAAGTTACATTGTTTTTGTTTTTTCTATCACAAATATACAATGGATGAAATTATAGCCAACAATCTGTGCACGAACTGAATATATGTGTATGTGTAAAAGAGAGAAGGGGGATGGGGGATGGAGAGCGGGTTGAATCTAATTGATAATTAGCTAGATGACTGGTAGGCACTGCCCAAGAACTATCATATTCCACTTTAGAGTACCACAGAATGATTGATATATATGCAGTTTAACCTTTGAACTCAGAAGTATGTTGGCCTATAGTTGAACAGAACGGAGAGAGAGAGAGAGAGAGAGAGAGATCTGAATCCAACAAAATGGTTGAAAAATTAATGGACACTTGGTATGTAAGATTTTAATTTCTTTGTCTAGGTTTTGATTAGATCAGTCCTTGACACTAATGAATCGGAGAAGTTTCCAGTTGAACCAGTGGACAATTGAATGAAAAGCTTATATAGTGTATAATGTCTCTCAAATTTGCTAGTTCAAAGATTTGCAAATCAAGCTGTATTCTGCTTTACAGCTGTGTCACCAAACCCTAGAGAAACCAAATTCCAAATCTCCTAAGCCCTAGATTCAAAATCAAAATAGTTCTTTCTCATGTTACATAACTTCAAAACTGTTCACCTTAAAATTTACGAGGAAGAAAGGAAAGAACTAAGTACATGGATCCAAATGTACCTTAAAATAGTCACCAATTTGTTCACAAAATCAATCTGAGGGAGATTAAATACCGAGAGCCCAAATACGAAAAAAAACGCATCCCCTTCCCTTGATCTTGTTCAGTACGATCATCGTCAATTCTAAGACAATAGCATATTGCTCAAGATGTATTTGCAGGAGGGTTTTCTCCCATCTCGACAACTCTAAGCTCTAAAGGAATTGGAGCATCAGCTTGTTTCTCATCAGGTTGGCTATTTTTATAGCTTGATGCTGCTTCCTTGTCTTCGGTGCTAGTACTACTGGCTTTGCTGTGATTGGTCCTCTCTCTTTCATACTGCCTATATTTGTGCAAGTATCTCAATAAGGCCTCAGAATAATCATCAAACCCTAGTGTACTCAAAGCCCAACAAATGTCATCTCCGTTCACCGTTTTACGGTTCTCCTTGTGACACTTGTCAGATGCTTCACCCGTCACAAAACTTATGAACTCTGATGCACATTCCTGCATGGTTTCTTTAGCTTCTTTGGATATCTTGGCACTTCGTGGCAGGACATGCTTCATGATCCGACCCACATTAGCAATAGGGAGGAACCTATCATGCTCATCAGCCATTTCTAGACTCAGATCAAGTTGATCTTCTCAAACACAGACACGTCGCCATAAAAAGTCGTTCACTTCTATATAGATGCATCTATGTATGTGCATGCATGTGTGTATGTGCACAATGTGAACACCTCATGCCATGAGGCCATCATGGGTGGCATCGATTGGTGGGTCATGTGGCGGTCGAGGTGGAACTGTTGGACATGTTTGCCAAGTGGAGTTCTTCTTGGTTCTTGATGGTGCATTTTATGCCCCATCCTTTATGGGACTAAGTTAATCAGATTTGGGTTTTGTCACAATGGTGGCACTAGAAATATTAATTCCAGCAGAATCCTGAGATTGATGAGAATCCGAGACTAGGCTGGCTAACCGAGCTATTGGAGAAGAGTGTATAGGGAAGGAGGAGCCCCAACAACCAAAGGTAAACTCAGAAACACACTAATCTTCTTTTCTAATAATACATTAAAAACCAAGGTCAAGCCCAAACGTATGAACTGTGCGGCTAGAGCTTGAAAATGGTTTAGTATCTAAAGTGACTCAAACCTTTAGCAGATCAATATTGAACTCAAAGCGGCCATGAGCATTTCTGAACTTTGAAATCTGACCAAATCCACTAATTGTGGAGTTCAACAAGTGAATTTGTGTTTAGAAAATTTAATCCCTATAAAGCTTAGTCCACTATAGTACAATGGTCCCCTCATCCTCCTGAAAATCTCTTTAACTTTTGATGCTCCCAATATGTCTAGACTTAAGATAAATTACAGGTTGTACTGTTTGAATGAATGGACTACATTTGTGCACGTTTACAGGTTTGGTAATGGATTAAACAAATTACAGCAAAAAAGAACTGATTAGAAATCCTAGTGTTTGGTAACCTCATACTTAGGTTCTCAACTTTTTTTGTCACTCTATTTGGCGGCAAAGCATCTCAATTCCCTTTCTAAATATATATATGTTAGGTTTCAGTCAAGTCCTGGAACCCTGAAGATAAGGTAAGATGCTACCAATTACTAAATCTGCGAGTTTTCCTTTAAATCTGTACCTATTGCTACTAAGATGTCGCTAAGAAATAACAATGTAAAAAATATGGCACTATTCTGTAACATGTTTAGTATAGCCTTGTTCTTCAGTGGTGGAAATTAGGGTAACACCTTGGTTGCAAAACAGGTACCAAAAGTTGCAACTTTTTTTTGTATATGTTGCAATTTTTTTTGGGTTGAATTACAAAAGTTAGGATTGATCTTAATATATTTTTGGATCGATTGTAACAACTTAAATGTTAATGGTCAATTCTAAACATCCTATTTTGTTATAACTTGATATAAAAAAAAAGTTATAACTTTTATAATGAAGTAATAAATTTTGTTATAGTTTGAAAAATATTCTTTCGGTACTGTAATCTTACTAAAAAAAATTATTTTTGATCACAAAAGAAAGAAAAAAAGAAAAGAAAATTACACACAAAGAAATGACGAAGAGATTTTAAGTTTTATGCATCCCACTTAAAATAGATGTTTCCTTATCGAGTTCGTGTGAGAAAAGGCTGAATGATTATGGGAACTTTTCTAACAGTGTAAGTGTACATATTCCAGTTTTTGGCACTGCAGTAATTTGAGTCAATTAAAAGTGCAGCAGGAATATAAATGTAAAAAATTTGTCAATTAAAACTGCCCTAATTTCACTCGTAGATTTTAGAATTTTGACTTGGGTGTCAAAAGCGGTACGGCACTGAACTTTTGAGAGCTAAGATACAAGTTTTTGAGATTTACTTACAAAAAAATAAAATAAAATTAGGATCGATTCTTAAAATGTACAACATTTTAGGATCATGTTATAACTTTTAATATTATTTAAAAAGAACAATGTTATTTTGATCTAATTTATTGATCAATTTGCAGACTTAATTCATTAAAATTATTGGATTGAACTGTGGACTCCATAAAATATTACAATTTGATGTCTAATTTATTGACCAATGAAATAATTGTGATTTTTTTTGTTGGAATATCATGTTTTGCTCGGTAATCGTCGACTTTTTTGGGACTTTTTGTTGGATACTCTTTGTAGTCACTTATTGTCATACACAAATTTCTATAATAAAGACATGAACTAACTATTAACCATTAAACCATGAAAATAAATACCATCCAATAAAAACAAAACATTCATGTTCGACATAATCTAACTAAAAATTCCCAAAAAGTGAACCATAATCCAAGTTTACATCCAAAAATCCTAAATAACAAAACATTACCATAACTAGTTAAATAAACATAAATACTCAATTTCTCCATTAAGAATCCTCAAAACAAACTAGCATAAATGTAAACTCTCCCACACTAAGTCTCAAGCTCTGGATCCACCTCATGATCCACTCCTTCTTCTCAATTCACCTACTCACTTATGTCCGTATTGTTCTCAATACTAAAATCTAAAAAGTATAGGGAATTAATGAGCAAACAAGCCTAATAAGAAAGCTTCATCAAACCGAAATAAGGTTTATAAAATTTAAAAAATGGGAGGTCTTGATTTGAGGAAAATAACAAATCCATATAAATTTGGTATTGGTGTAACTTCTCAAGAATAATATACTAATCCTTTGCCTCGATCATTGTGAGTGAATAGTGCAAATTCTTGAGTCCTCGCAAGAACCCAAGCAACTCCACTACGAGTGTGATGTGAAACCCGCCAAAATAACGAGAATCGACAACAAAAAAAAGGAACCCAATATCGTTTTACGATCAGATTTCATGATAGATCTCGACCCATTGTTTACGACAAACAAGAACCTTGGTATATAGATATCAACCCGCTGTTTATGAAACAAGAACCTTGGTATAAAGGAAGACGCCACAAACGGTGTGGAAACTCGTTTGATAAGTCGCTGGTGAACGCTATGAAAAATCCTGATAAGTNCGATCAGATTTGATGATAGATCTCGATCCATTGTTTACGACAAACAAGAACCTTGGTATATATATATCAACCCGCTATTTGTGAAACAAGAACCTTGGTATAAAGGAAGACGCCACAAACGGTGTGAAAACTCGTTTGATAAGTCGCTGGTGAACGCCATGAAAAATCCCGATAAATTCGTTTAGTTCTTTAAAGAACCATAGAGAAGAAAACACTCTCAAAATTTGCTGAATAATAATCTTACTTTTCATTGATTTGAACGCCTATTTATAAGCTGGTCATTATAAGGATTAGGAAACTCCCTAAAATAGCTATCCTATTTAAGAAATATCTCTTACTTTCCTAAGACTCTTGAAGAAAAAAAAGACATTCATCCCTTTAATTGGCTGATCACATGCCTAAATAGAAAAAGGAAAGTACTTGGCATAAAAACCTTACAATCAGACCCCAAAAAGAGTGAATAGTGCACTATTACTGTAGCGTGAATAGTGCAGTGCTACAGTAATTTTGAAAATCCTACTTCATAAGAAATAAAACATGTGGGCTAAGCATCCTCAAGTCCACTTATAATAATAATCCTTTAAACAAATTGGAGGCATTAACAACAACATGCCAATTTAAGCTTAGCCTTAGCCCCTAGCTGGATTCTTCTAAAACTTGAATCATGTTGATGAATCTTTGTTGCTCAAGTGGTTCATGGTCAATGGGCCTCCACTAACTTGCTTGATTCCATGCCTCTTGAATCAGCTCATTAAGTACCTCTTTAAACTTCCTTGCTCGTGCTCTCGTAACTGGCCCACTTGGAACTTGAACTAAATCCCTTGAAGTTGTGCTATAATTTGCATCAAAATGATATGGAAACTTTAAACCCCTAAAGGTAAGAAACTCATTTAAACACTCCACGATATAAGTTGGGGTGCAATACACGTTCATCACACCCACCCATAAAAGAGATAATCCATAATTTTCCATAAAATCCAAGTATGTCACAAATTATGATTCCAAGATTATTAAGATAGAGTAATTCAAGAAAACATGTAAGAGATTGCAAAAAAAAAAAAATGCATTTAATATTATCATAATCAAGAATTAGAGTTTTTAAATTAGAATGAATAAATCTTGGATTTAAATCATTTATTTTATTTAAGAAATGAATCACATGATAAATCGAATGTGGAAGCATTGTAGATCTATTATGGATATTGTAATAAGGATGAAAAAGATATAATTATATAGCACTAATCCTTAATGAATAAGCTTGAAGTATTTTATAAAGCTAACAAAGCTTCTCTTATTGAAGATCTAAGGTTTGAAACCTTTTAGTGTTTGGATAAAGTATTAAAGCATTAAAGAACTAATACAAATAGGTTGGGTGCAAATCAATAAAGAGAACTTGAAGAACCCTAAACTTGGAAGTCTGTTGAGGATTATAATTGAAAAATAATATTAAATTCACTAAATCTTCTCTCCATAATAAGGTCAATATCTTCAATAACCTTGGAAATTTCATATCTGATATTATAGTTTCATTTAATTTTGGTGTGTTTTAGATTTTTGTTAGCTAGTCTAGCTAAGATACTGCACGGGATGATTTTCGGTAATCAATGAGATAGCGACACCAAAATTCTTTTAACACCGAAAGGATTAGGAATGGGGCTGGAGGATCCTTCAATGTCTTCCTTCCAATGCTTAAGTTAGTTAGCGTGTGAGAAATAGAGGATATGAAAAATTCTGTACTATGATTGTTTTCACTTGAGTACTTGAGGCCCAACCCTTGGGCTATTTATATCTTGATGGGGGTGCTGAGGTGGACTCCTTGTAATAATGTCTAGGCTGACAAGCCTGGCAATCATTGGGGAGGGAATTCCTTCTATTGGATCATATGTATGGTGAGTGTTGCCATGTCAGTGGCTGCCTTGTCAAAAAGGCCCCCATCTTGTCATAAAGTGGCTTCAAGCCATGTATTTATTAGACGTAGGGTTATCTTGTAGGTGGCCAGGGTGAAAATTTGAATGATGACCCAGCTTAGGGCTAAGCGTTAAATGTTGACCTCTCTTAGGGTATCACCCAATTGGTCTCTATGTGTGAAGGTTATGCTTCTCTATTAGTATGCGTGGAGTTCCGTGTTGGCTCCACATGAAGAAGGAGATACAACCGAAAATCTCTATCCGCTATCATGTTGGTCGATTCAGATGATGTCAATAGGTCTCAATAAAGACA